GTTCCGACTCATAGCGACCCTGTACAGGGTTTCCGAGGCTGTAAATCTTTACGGGAACAGAAAGCCTCATCTTTCTCCCTTGGAACAGCTGACCTTGCGGTTCGCAGCTCGATTCATAACGGCTATACTTCCAAAGCTCCTTGTTCATCTCATTAGTCTTCCTCTTTTTTGCTGACCCTCTAGCTTACCAAGCATGATGTCCTTCTCCAAGGATTGGCCCTTTCTGACAGCATGTCCAAGTACAAGAGACAAAGGTCTCTCTATCCTTGCTTCTAAGGAGCGTTCTGGCATACTTCTTCCGGCAGTCTATGGCACTAGATAGAGGGGAGGATATGTTGAGAAACGAGCTTCACATGTTGATATTTTTGTTTAATAGAAGCTTTTATGATTTTTTAGCAATACTTTTTTTGTGTTCTACCAGAAACATTTTTGTTTTTCAATATTTTGAATTTTATTTTCAGTAGAACTGAGGAGATGCAGTTATATAAAGCTAAATTAAGATATAAGCAGATTTTTATATAATGACTTTCAAGAAAAATAAAGACTGAGATTAATAAAATTACTGTTAAACTATATAAAGCTAGCTTCAAAGATACTTTTAACATATAACCCTCCTTCTGCTTTGACAATTCCTACATACGCTTTTTTTTTTTTTTTTAATACATTCAACAAATCATTGTAGTGATTAGAATACCCTGCATCCTTAGCCAACAGTATTTACCTTTTTTTAATGTATACATAACATAAGTATATATTTGTTTAAATGTCCAAAGGGCACATTTTGCAAGCTAGCCTCTTGTCCTCAGGCACACTGCTTTTCTTAGTCCATGGGCCTAGAGTCCACTGCTGTTCTGTCTCTGTATACCATCACCTCTACCACCATCTCTATTGTTTCCACTTCTCTGGTCAGGATCCCTCTCTCTTCTCATGTCCTCCTTCTTGATGGTCCTAGGGTCCCCTGTTCCTGAGATGACAGATTAACTGCTCCGCCTTTCAGTTGCACCTTTTCTACATTTAGACACTCGCCATTAGAGCTGAAAACAGTTACTTGCAATTGTATCATAAAGTCTTATCACCCTTATTACCAGGCCCATCTGGACAGGAGGGTTTTTGTCTTACTGCCTACATTCTGATACTAAGCACCCTCATGAAAGCTTGTAAGCCAGCCACTTTGTGCTTTTGTAGCCCCCCCCTCCCCCAATTTTGGTAGCCAAAGTCTAAGCTGCCCATTGCTATCAGCCCAGTGTACTGAGGAGTCATGCTTTATCCTTGATAAGGAGAATCCTTCCCTATTTGGTTGGAATTTTGAGCAGTTTCATCCATAATCAAGAGTCTGGTTGATTAAGTTGCAGCAATTACGCTTGCTCTTGTATCATACTTCTTTATCTTCATCTGGTCGTATTCTGGTCAGCAAGCCATCCATGCTAGGTCTGATTGGTACTGTCTGCAAGTCCACCTCCCCCTTCTTCACATCTGGTGGTGCTTCATTCTTAACTTTAGTCCTCAGTGGCTCAGTCATTGTCTTTGGGCTCGGGAGTTCACATGTCACCCTGAACTTCAAACCCATCAGCCCATCCTTTTCTCTTTCTCATTCCTAAGTCACTGGGTGTCCATGGAATATGGCAAATCTTAGCCCATGACTTGTTTACTGCAATTACCCCCCTTACACTTATAAGTCAACCAGGATGGTTGCCATCGAGTATATAGGACCATTCATGTGTTCCCTTTGAGTTTCAGTCTTAGGAGTTCACTCTAGTGGGTAAGCTTTTCTTGCCTACCCATTTTCTTGCCTTGATGGCTCCAAGGCAAACAGCTTGATTGATAATGTTACAGCCAAACAGTCTAGCAATACTTTTTGATTTATTCTTATATACCTAGTAGTGAGATTGCTGGATTACATGGTATTTCTATTTTTAATTTTTAAAAGAAGTACCATATCATGTTCTGTAATGGTTGTACCACTTTATAATCACATCATCCATATATAAGAGTTCCAATCTTTACACCTTTGACAGAATTTGTTGATTCTATTTTTTTGATCATTGCTGTTATTGCCAGGGTTTGATATTATCTTTTGTTGTTTTGATTTGCATCTCTCTAATAGCTAAAGCTATGGACAACATTGCGAAGTATGAGTATTCCTGAACACTTAATTATGCTTTTGAGGAATCTGTACTTGGACCAAGAGGCAGTTGTTTGAACAGAACATGGGAACACTGAATGGTTTAAAATTCAGAAAGGTGTGTGACAGGGTCATTGCACACTTATTCAACCTATACTTATTCAACCTGTATGCTGAACAAATAATCTGAAAAGCTGGGTTCTCTGAAGAAAAACGTGGCATCAGGATTGGCGGAAGACTCATTAACAACCTGCCATATGCAGATGATACAACCTTGTTTGCTGAAAGTGAAGAGGACTTAAAGCATTTACTGATAAAGATCAAAGAGCACAGCCTTCAGTATGGATTGCATCTAAATGTAAAGAAAACAAAAATCCTCACCAGTGGACCAATAACCAACATTCTTTCATTATGAATTGCATCTAAATGTAAAGAAAACAAAAATCCTCACCAGTGGACCAATAAACAACATTCTTATCAACGGAGAAAAGATAGGACTTCATTCTTCTTGGATCAATTATCAACACTCATGGAAGCAGCAGTCAAGAAATCAAAGGACGTATTGCATTAGACAATTTGCTGCACAAGACCTTTTTAAAGTGTTGAAGAGCAAAGATGTCAGCTTGAGGACTAAGGTGCGCCTGACCCAAGCCATGGTATTTTCAAAAACCTCATATGCATGCAAAAGCTGAACGGTAAATAAGGAAGACCGTAGAAGAATTGATGCGTTTGAGTAGTGGTGTTGGAGGAGAATACTGAAAGTGCCGTGGGCTGCCAAAAGAACCAACAGATCTGTGTTGAAAGAAGTGCAGCCAGAGTGCTCCTTGGAGGCCAAGATGGCCAAACTTCATCTCTTATACTTCAGACATATTGTCAGGAGGAACCAGTCACTGGAGAAGGATATCATGTTTGGTAGGGTGGAGGGTTAGAGAAAAAGAGGAAGACCCCCAGAGAGATGGATTGGCAAAGTGGCAGCATCAGTGGACTCAAGCGTGGCAACGATAGTGAGGTTGGCCCAGAATTGGACAGTGTTTCGTTCTGCTATGGTGGCTATGGGTTGGTACTGACTTGATGGCACCTAAAAACAATAACAATAGCTAATGATTGGGAGCATTTCTTCATTGTTTCTGATCATTTCTGAGCCTTAGTTTTCTCATCTGAAACTACTTTGTAGGATTTTTAAGAGACTAATAATAAATGGGTAACGGTAGTTCAAACCCACCGGCTGCTTGTGAGTTAGAATTGGCTCGACTTAACAAAAACAACAACTGTAAGTATAGGTAATAGTCTCCATGAATTGTAAGCCATTTTATAGAATTAACAAACCCACAAGGAGCTATGAGACTTTCATTTAGCTGGGACGGCTAATTCAGAGGAAGGCTGCACAAGTAGTATTAAAGCAGAGTTCTAACTTGTGAGGAACCAGCTTTAGGTGGCTGATGGACACAAAGAGGTTTATATAGACAGTTGATTTGTGAAGAATCAGCTTTGAGTACCTGGGTGACACAGAAAGTCTGCACTGGCAGTCAGTGAAGGCGAACAGATTCTTAGCTAGTGACCTAGCCCCAGGGGACTAGAACAATAGGAAAAGGAGCTGACTTGTCTGCAATGCAGGGAGTTGTGCAGATTCCTGAGCCTACAGCTGGTACTTAATGGCTTGGCCCCAGATGACCAGGAATGAATTCTAACCTAACTCTAGTAGTTGGTTAAGGTAAGAGAGAGAAATTACCACAAACAAAAGTGACTGGAAATGAGGAATGGAGGTAGAGGAAGGTGAAGCCTGGGTCCTTTTCTAGATGACAGCTGGATTAATATTGATTCTTAACCATACTGCAATCAATAAAGGTGGGGTTTGCCCACTGCGCCTGTTTAATAATGTAGTTGGCAGCACATCAATGTTTATTGTTTCTAGTTTTTTAGGTGATTCTGATATGCAATCAGGATTGAAAACTGCCAGCTTAAAGCTATTCCAAGAAAGCATTCTCTTATTTTGTCTGTTCAATTTTAGAACTGAGAAGATAGCTTAAAATTCTCAAGTTTTCTGAAACTTCTACAATGAAACTATGAAATTTCAAATGATGACCATTTTTCTCTCATTTGAATTGAATCTTAATTTAAATTTATCCTCTGCCAGAGAAGTATACTTACTGATCCTTTTTTCAGACAGTTCTGATTGAGGGCTTTCTGACAGTTCACTTGAAGGCTTTTTAAAGAGCTGAAATGCAAAGAATTTCTTTTATTGCTATTCTAGCTCGTTGCACATGAAACATTATTAATAATTATACCTAATTCTTCCAAGGTCTTTTCTCCAAAACCAACTTTAAAGATGAGCAGTATTGTTATCTTTCAAACTTTGTTGCCGTAAACTATATATATATATAGCCAAGAGTTTGCTATTTCGGCCATTTTTTATATGTACAATTCCGTGACATAATTCCATTCACCATGCTGTGCTACCATCACCACTATTCATGTCCCAGAAGTTTTCATCGCTCCAAACACAAGCTCAGTACCCTTTAGGTGGTGAGGACCTTTTATTCCCCCTTTCCTCAGCTTCTGGTTGAGCAGTGTCATCTTTTTTTTTTTTTTTTAGTTTTTATTGTGAATTGAGAACATCGTTTTTACACTCATCATTTCATTGCAATGATTACTATCTCCTCTGTGCATCATCATTCAACAGTATTTGCTTCTATTCCCTGTCTTGTTTTGGGGGGATGCACTCAAAAACACTCAGGAATATTTAATAATTTAAGCAACCAAAGGGCACATTCTGCAAGCCGAGTAGTGTCGTTTTGTAAGATGAGTGTTTGTGAACCATATCTGAACCTGGAGAAGGTCAGGTTTTGGAAGTTTGCCATTATTTTCAAACCTGAAGGTTGTGTGACAATGTGTTTTTCTTATAAGAAGGGAGAGTCAGGCTTCTTCACTTGGTATACATCTCAATGGATGTATTCTTATTTTCTGACAGCCTATTACTAGCTCTCCCCCCAAATGGATGGCTGAAATAGAACGGGATGATATCGACATGTTGAAAGGTAAGTAATTGTAATGACCTCTAACTTTGACATTTATGTCTCTCCAGAAATCGTTACTTTTCCAGTTTCTTTATTATTCCTTTAAAAGTATTCTCAGCTTCAGTGAACTGCCCATGCAACCATTCTTACTCACAGTCCTTTATGCCTGAATGCCTTCTCTGCTTGTTCCATATGTACAAATCCTGTCAAGTCCTGCCAGCTCCATCATTGTGATTTCTTCTGTTGCTATATTATTGTAATAATAATTCTTTGTATAAAGCTTTACAGTTCACATAATGCTTTCACATACATTTTCTTATTTAATTCTCATAAGTTAGGTGTGATGATATCATGCAGAAGTGAGCATAGCCAACATTTATGCAAAAGAGTTAAAATTTAAACTGATATTTTATATTAAATCTAATTATTTCTATAGTACAACTGCTGTATTTGGGATTTACTGCCACATATTTTTGTTAATGCTATGAAATGACAACCTTTTAGTGGGTTAAGGCCTATCTTGTACTTCTTTCTAGCTTGTTAATTTCTTTCATAAAGGGTAAGTAGTGAATGTTGTTGTTTGATAAATGGTTCAGAATCCAATCACAAAGTGGAAATTTAAATTAAAAACATTAATTTTCCTTGATATTTGTTCTTCTTTATTCATTTATTTTTTGATTACCCTAGTGATAAGATTCATGAAGGTTGTGAAGTATTAGATTAAAATTAAGGTTAAAAACTTGGATTCTCGAGCTATTTAAGAAGCTGAACGGAACAGGAAAGTCTACTTCTGCCAGATATAATGACTGGACATGATAAGTGGGAGGGAAAAGACACCTTTATTGGATTGCAGAAGTAATTAATTGTTCTGCATTGAAATGTTTAAATCCCCTCATTCAGCCATGGAAAAATTAAGTCTCAAGGACATCTCGGATTCATTGTTCTAATGTTCCAAACAGACATTTTTATAACATTCCGCCACTACGTATTTAAAGGAACCTTTAAATTTTAAGTAAGAAGTCATAGCTTATGTTATGTACAAATTAACCCATGTCTTAAACCTGAACATGGTTGTTGTTGTTAAGTGTCATTGAGTCGGTTCTGACCCATAGCAACCCTGTATAGGGTTTCTGAGGAGCAGCTGGTGAGCTTGAACTGCCGACCTTGCAGTTCACATGACTTTGCAGTCTGGCGCATTAACCCACAGCGCCACACCAGGACTCCAAACATGGTTGGTGCTATTTAAATAAAATCTTGGAAATTTAGGTTAAAAACTGAAATTCCATGGTCATTTTAACTGGCTAAACTTAAAACAAAAAATTATGGGAATTGATTTGAAGGGAAAGTTTGGTACTTAGAAAAATGGGGAATAGTTACTATCATATTGTGAGTCATAATAATGAAGACTTGTAAATAGCAGTGGAAACAACACCTATTTTGCAAGATATGTGTTTTTTCAGTGCTATATCCAAACACAAGGTTCCATATTATAATGGTGTATTCATTTTGTGTAATAAGCAAAAGAAGTGTGGAGAAAATGAGTAAGTTAGGATCCTCAGGTTAAAGCACTTAATTTGCCATTATCTTTATGTTAACTCTTTTCTCATAAGTGGATAAACTCATTTGAGGCTCTTTGTAATAATGGAAAAATTCATTGACTTGGTTTTTTTAATTGAGGGGTAGACGACATAGGGGGAATGGACAGCTAGGGATCCAGTATCTATTTATTTGACAAGAATTATGCAAAATAGCTTGAAAATTTATATAACAGGTATTCTCATCCCAAAGAAGTTATTACTAAATAACAGTGGGAAGACAAGGTATTGAAATAAATTATTCTGTTTCAGAACTGGGCAGTCTCACCACGGCTAATTTGATGGAGAAGGTACGAGGCCTACAGAACCTAGCCTATCAGCTGGGTCTGGATGAGTGTGAGTACCATTTGTTCAGGGTTACTGACTGTATTTTCCATGGTGAGTTCCAGTTAAAATTCAAAAAGCATCTGTATTAGGAAAAGCATAGATGTTCTGACACCAAGAAGTTGATGTAATCTGAAATACTCTTTATAATAGAACGTGCTAGAATAATTACTGGACTTATCAGGTAAGAAAATTCTTTTTCTCTGCACAATAAAAGCATATTGGAACTTGTTCACTTTTAAGAGGATGTCATCTCAAAGTAGCATAAGTGAAAGGGGGACTTTATTAGTTTGCATAACTCAAAAGTCCAGGGTAGGAATAACTTTGAGGATATCGAGATCCATGACTCTGAGTGATGTCCTTGGGACATCCATTTGTTTTGTGTCTTGAGGCTCTGCTTCATTCATGCATTAGTGTAGCCTTTTCTTAGCAACTGGGCAAGATGGCCAAAAGGAGTTCTAATTTGTGTGTCTTTAAATCATATGATTCCCAAAGGAATCTTTTTTTTTTTTTTTTCCCCAAGAGTCCCAGAAGAAAGGTCCTAGGGAGGACAGACACTGCTCTGTCTTCCCTCATATACTCATCCTTGATGGACCAGTGAGTCCTGGGATCAGTGCTGTCCAATTCTGGAATGGAAAAGGTTTCATTCACCAAAGGAAAAGATAAAGGGCAGACCAAGAACACATGTGCTGCCATGGATAATGAATGCTAGGAGCTCTCACTTAACGCCTGTCTGCTCTCCTTTCTTTTAGTTCACAGTTCTATCTTTGCAGATTACAAATCTCCATTCAAACTACATTTATTATAAAACTAGAAAAGGACTTATAGAAAATTTTCACTTTGTGATTAAAAGGAGTGATACTCACTCAACATAAAAACAGTGATTGGAACCTTGTTCTTGAAGTGTGCATTCTAAGACCTTCATCAGCCCCCAATTTTTAAAGTATAACTATAGTTTAAAAATGCTAGTTTTTACTGATTGGAGAAATCTAAAATATAGTTCCAGGAATTATCTCTTCTTATTTCTTTTTCTTTTTAAAGCTTTTATTGTGAATTGAGTGATAGTTTACATGGGAGAACATTGGTTTTGCACTCATTTTAATTGCAATGATTACAATCTCCTCCATGCATCATCTTTTTTTTTTGGATGTACACAAAAACACTCCGAAATATATAATCATTTTAACAACACAAGGGGGCACATTCTGTAAGCCTGCCTTCTGGCCACCAGCATACAGCCTTTCTCTTTCCATGAGCTTAGAGTTCTCAGCTGTTCCCTCTCTCCATGTCCTCATCTTTGTCACTGCTTCTCTGGATAGGGTCCTGCATTCCACTCATGCTCTTCTCCCTTGATGCTCTTAGGATTGTCTGTTCCTGGAATATAAGATTAGCTTACCCCCCTTTATGTTATAAAACTTTTACATTTACAGTTGTGACAATCGAAATAGTCATGGTAACAATTACTGTGGAATCAAAGAATCCTATCCACATCCCCATGTAGACAAGATGAAAACTATTCAGTGGGGATTTTAGCTTCCCTTGCCCACTTTGCAATTAAACTCCCTCTTGAAAACTTGTAAGACAGCTACTTTGTGCCTCTGTAGGTGCCTCTCCCCACACACCCCCACCTCCATTTTAGGTACCCAGTGTCTAAGTTGCCCATCTCTATCAACATGGTGTACAGAGGAAATAGGCTTGATCCTTGATGTGAAGGCTCCTTTCCTCTCAGTTGGTATTTTGAGCTACTACATCCATAAGTGTAGGTCAAGTTCATCAAATTGTAGCAATTTATATTTGTTTCTTTTATCAAATTTCTTGTCGAGCTCTGGTCATCAAACCATCAAAGCTAGGTCAAATGGGTATTCTTGTGCATCTCCCCCTACTTCATATTAGCTGGACACTTCACTCTCAGCTCTAGTCCTCAGTGGTTAGGTCAGTGTCCATGGGCTCAGGAGTTGAAAAGTCTCCCCGAACTTTGGACCAATCAGCCATTCCTTTTCTGTCTCTCATCTCAAGGTTAAAAGGAGTCTATGGAATGTGGTCAGACTTATCCCTATCTTCATTACTGACTTTCTCTCACTTCCACATAGACCAACACAGTGGTCAGCGGGCTTGCATGCCTGCTCACGTGTTCCCTTTGAGTTTCAGTCTTGGAGGAGGGGGGTTTGTCCTGAGGGGACTTGACTGCTTGCTTTGATGGCTCCCCTGCCAACAGCTTGCTTGTTCTTGTAATAGCCAAACAGACTGCCAGTTTTTGTTTTTGATTTTGTTTTTCCTTGCTGGTCTTCTTTCAGGAAGTATCTTCTGTCCCATTCCTCTAGCTGCTCTGGGTTGGTCTGCATGTCCTTTCAAGTGGGAATGTCCCGTCTCAGAAAGTTCTAGATGGGGTTCAGGATTCCACCTAACGTCCTATACACTACAAAGTGTATAGACTGTACACTTCTCTGCAAGAAGCCTATTTTCACTGGGCAAGTTCTAGAACCCCTTTTTGGTCTTCTGTTCAGTTACAGGGTGAAGATGGACTTACAAAGTTTCTGTAATCATGTTTCCTGATATTCCTTTCTATCCCACTGAAGTATCTATTTTACACTAGAAGGCAAGGAAAATCAATATCCATAAGATAGTTAAGCATCTTAACATTCTTTCCCTTCTTACCCATTCAGACTATGCCTCGATCTCTGTATCACAGAGCCCTGTTGTTACAAGGTTGAGCATACATCACTATTTACTTCTGTCCTATTTAGCCCATGCAAACCCATCTACCTCGTTCTTCCATCCCCCACCTCATTCTTGTGTATTGTCCTCCCTAATACCCGAACTATGATTTGTCTGTCCCTTAACTTGTGCTCTACCTTTCCCTCCCTTCCACCCTTGGTAACCAATAAAGAATTTTTTTTTTTTTTCCTTTTAGTATGGGTATCTTTTCTTAAGGTTTTACAAAAATGGTCTTATGCAATATTTGTCCTTTTGTGACTGACTAATTTCATTCAGCATAATGTCCTCAAGGTTCATCCAAATTGGGAATTTACATTCCCACCAGCAATGTAGGAAGGCCCCAGTCTCTCCATATCCTCGCCAGCATTTATTGTCCTCTGCTTTTTTGAACTTATGCTGTTACTGTTGGTATGAGATGATATCTCCTTGTTGTTTTGAATTACATCTTTCTAGCAAAGTGGAAGTATCATTGGGCTCAAGTGTGGCAACAATAGTGAGGTTGGCTCAGGATCGTGCAGTGTTTCGTTCTGCTGTGTATAAGGTTGTTATGAGTCAGTACCGACTGGATGGCATCTAACAGCAACAACAACAACAACAGGGCTAATGATCATGAACATTTCTTCATATGCTTGTCTGCAGCCCAAATGTCTTCCTTGGTGAATTTTCTGTTCATGTCCTGTGCCCATTTTTAAACTGGGTTATTTATCTTTTGCTTGTAGAGGTGTTGTAGTTTACTATAGATTTTAGAGGTTTTCTGTTGTCTGATATATTATTGCAAAAGATTTTTTTCCTATTCTGTGGGCTTTCTTTGTAATCTTTTGGTGAAATCTTTTGATACATATTAGTTTCTAATCTTTAGTATGTCCAGTCATCTGTTTTGTCTTCCTTTGTTCATGCAATTCTCGCTGTTTGATAGTCTGTGTGTTCTCTGCATTAGAGCCCTTAAATTTGTCGCTATTTTTTTCATTGATGACCTTTATAATTCTGGGATTCACATTTAGGTCTTTAATCCATGTTGAATTGGGTTTTGTATATGGTGTGAGATGAAGGTCTTGTTTCAATATTTTACATATTGATTTCCAGTTTTACCAGCACCATCTGTTGAAAAGACTGTCTCCTCATTCAATAATTGTACTTTGAACCTTTATCAAAGTTCTGTTGGCTGCATTTAGTTGGATTAATTTTTTGGATTCTCAATTCTGTCCCATTGATCTATGAATCTTTCATTGTACCAATAGTAGGCTGTTTTGACCACTGTAGCCATGTAGTAAATTTTGAAGTCAGGGTGTGAGAGGATCACAACTTTGTTCTTCTTTTTAAGCAGTGCTTTGCTTATCTGTGGACTCTTTGTTTTCCATATAAAGTTTGTAAGAGTTTTTCCATCTCTTTAAAGAACGTCGTTAAATCTGGATTAGGATTGCGTTATA